ACCAGAGGTAGACACCACAGGAAACTTAATACTCCCTTGTGTTTCATATATAATAGGTTTGCACTTTGCATGTCATTACAACATAAAGCTAAATGAACACTGGTGTAAAAGCAGAGTGTATCCCCTGGGGGTCCAGCAAAAACAAAAACAATTACATCCAGCCTAGGGGGAGGGTCAGGGCAGGCTTGATAGATCTGACTCCTGAGCTAGAAACTGCTGGCCAGGCAGTAACGGTACACTCAAAGGCTGGAAGGCAGGGAAGTATAGGAGACCTCTGTAGATGAGGGACGGAGAGAGGCCTTGGGTCAACACTTGATCCTCATGAAATGGATTGTAGGCTCTTAGGGCCTTCTAGTTGGTGGCAGGGCATCCTAATCCCTTGCTCTTCACTAGGCCCCCAGGGCTGCATCGGGTCTGCCTACAAGAATTGTAATCCTGAGGTCAGCACTCTCCAGTTAACCAGATAATGTGGCTTAAGACAGTGTAAATAGCCTGCTTCTTTGCTTTTGGTCAAGTTGAACTCAGAGTGGTCTGAAGCTGGGAAAAGCAGCTAGACATTCATTTGCCAAATGTTAACCAAGGCTGGTGTGTTCTGGGCTGTGTGCTAGTGCCAGGAATGTGGTTAGTGTGGGCACTCTTATTCCGTTTGTCCTCTGGGAGAAGGCAGATGTTTAGCAACTCATCAGGGACTGGTCAAGGAAGGCTTTCCAGAGAACTGCCACCTGAAGGTGGTCTAGGATGCTTGGACCTCAGTCAGGCATGGAGGAGCTCAAGGGTGGATATAGTTCACTCACAAGAGATGCTCTTTACAGAGGCTTGGAGTCCAAAATTCTGAGGTTGTCTATTATCCTGGAACACAGAGTAGAGGTAGGGCAGAGCATTTGATGGAAACTAAGACAGAAAAGACTTCATGCTGTGTGAAGAAATGAGCTGTTGAGGCATGTGAGCAGTGGAGTGAGGGATTTGCATGTGACAGATTGTTTGTAGGAGGCTGAGCTCAATGGCTTATTTGATTATTTGAGCCAAAGGGTCCCAGGGGTCAGGAGGAGACCCTCCCCAAAAGCAGAGCTGCCCAAATGTGAGGCTGAGTGTATGGATACATGTAGGATGGAAACAGGGTGCACTCTGGGCTCTGCCCCAGCAGAGCAGCTCTTGGTTTCCCTCACCCTGGCCAGGCCTGAGGCAGTGCCCCTACTGAGCTTGGTGTTGCTTTTGTCTTCCATGACGCTTGTCCCCTGTGGCAGGATTTAGCCCACATTTGTTCTCTGGTCTGGCAGGTGGGTGCCCACATGCATGTACTCTGTCCATTTGGCAGCCTAACCATTGTAATGTGTCTACAACCTACCAAAGGAATATGGGGGTAATGAGACAACCAGGGGAGGTAGTTGGCTTGGGCTTCTGGTCTGGCTCTGCCGCTTTCTCTCCAAATGCAATCTCACTGTTGTCCAGCTGGCATCCATGGGGCTCAGGTACATGCTGTAGGAGTCCTGGCTCCTGGGGCTCAGGTACATGCTTTAGTATGATTGGTGGTAACCAGGTTGAATGATTTGGAGAGGCGCTTCCCGTGGGACCTGGGTATCTTGCAGACCTGGGGGATGGGGGAGATGTGCTTGGAGCCCAGGACTATGTGGTAGGGGTGCCTCCTCTTTAGGAGTTACCCCTCATGTTCTTTTAGGTTCTTCTGACCATAGTAAGCTGCTACACCTCAGAACTGCTCTGCGAGAGAACAGGGTAGGAGTTAGTAGCATGATGTTGGAAGGAGGTTAGTGGAAGATGGGTGGAGGGGTCCCAGGAGGGGGATGAGTACTATTGTAGGAGAGACAGTAGGGTACAAGTCTGGGCTTTGTGGGAGTCTGATATTTAACGGTGCTGGAGCTTAGACCTAGACCTAAGGGCCCAGGTTACTAAATAGACAAGGGGAAACTAGCTGGTTAGCTCACTTGGTTAGAGCACGGTGTTATAACACCAAGGTCAGGGGTTTGGATCCCCATACTGGCCAGGTGCAAAAAAATAAAAGGGTGTGTGTGTGTGCTTAGACCTACCTCACTGGTCCCTGTCTTCTCACTCCATTGGAAGGCCAGGCCTTGGAGCACAGGTTGCTTAGTGAGGATGGAGCCAGAAGTTGGGATAGCAGTTGGCAGTGGGCCAGGGAGCCACGCTCCCTCCAGGGTCACTGTGGCCTGAAAGCAGGCTGGTTCCTCATCTCCCAGAAACGGTGGTCCTGTGCTCTGCTGCAGTGAAGAGAGCCCCCCTGTGCTTTAGAGGCCATCACGAGGTGGTAGCTGTGTGACCCAGGTCAGTGAGTTGCTCTCTGATTTGGTCTTGCTCCCTACCCTCACAGTGGGAATACTCTTCCCCCAGCAGCTACTCTGGAGGGTTGCATGAGTGACAAAGCCAACTCCCTCTCTTCCCTTAGTTCATGTGTCTGTGCATTACATTAATGCTGCGGTCATCCTCCCTTAAGGCCTCACCTGTACTTGTACCCACCCAATCTCTGCTTTGACCTGATGCCTTGGGTGACCCCTCTGGGGGTGGTGGCTTGCTGGTTAACCCTTACTTCACGTACCTGGAGTGCTTTGCTCTGACCCCTAGATACTGACTCAGACTGTAAGGTATCTCTTTGTTTCTCTTGTCACCTGAGGAGGCCCAGGTCCAGACCCTACTACTAGAACTGGGCCTTCTAACTCCAAATTTGTGGCTCTCTGCTAAACCCTGAGGGGCCTGGCCTGCTCCATGGTAGTTGGTTGCCCTTTTGGGGGAGGGGGGGGCAGCTGGCCAGTACAGGTATCAAACACTGGACCTTGGTGTTATTTATCAGCACCACACTCTAACCAACTGAGCCAACCAGCCAACCCTTGGTTGCCTTTTAATTGAGGCACAAGCTGTCATCTTGATGGCTCTGTTCTTCTCTTGCCATTTGTCAGTCACCTGAGGAAACAACTTTAGAGTGCTCCACCAGGGCTTCACTGGAGCTTTTGGGCACCTGGAGGCCTTCCTGCTCTGAGCATGGGTTCCTGGCATCTACAAGTTCTTAGCTCTATGGGTGCCAGAGGAGGGACTTTCCTCCAGGAGGCTACAGACCCTTGGAGTTCTGTAAGTCAAGCTTAATAAACAGCACCTCGTTTGGTCTGATCTCTGTCACCTGGACCTCTCAACTCAGGGGTTTGAGGCCTAGTGGAGAGGTCATCAGGGCTCAGGGGATTCTAATTTACATCTGCAAGTCTGGGTCTTGCCCAGTATCAGCTCTACCCAAAGAATCCTAGCCTTGAAGGAGGCAACTTGTCTTTGATTCCTAGATCCTCTGAACTGAAAAAAGCTTTAGAGTCAGTCACATTTCTCCTTCCTTTGCTCATAAGGGGAAAGTAAGGCCTGAAGAAGCATGGTGGCTAGCCTAGACTCTGAGTGGCAGCACCAGGACTAGATCTTCCTTCTTTTGCTGCTAGGTCCTCCTTCCCTGAGCATGGAGCAGCCCAGAGAGGAGGCTGAAACTGGTGGGCCAGTTGGTGCAGCTGGGCCCCTCTGGCCTCCCCATCTATGAGGTCAAAGCAAAGAGGCAGGGATGGCTGCCATGCCTGCCTGCCCGCCCACCAATCAGTTTGGGCCTGAGGGCATCAGGACATTGGTTCCCCGCTAGAAGGAAGGAGACCCCCCCCCTGCTGGCCTCAGGAGAGAGACCCCTGCCTAGGTTCAGAGTGGCTCCTGCCTATCAGGCTTGAAGCCTCACTGAGGCTTTAGCCTTTCTCCCACCACTTCCAGGATGCATTATAGCCTTTCTGAGCCAGTTTTTCCCGTCTATTTAGAGCAGGAGGGTGGTGGCAGAAGCCATGGGGAATGGGGGAGCTGTGAGAATCAGAGACAGTTGTTACCGAAAGCACCAAGTAGGCTAGTCGAAGGCAGCTCTTGGATTTTTCCTCCTGCTCTCTTCCCTTCAGCATCCTTGTGAGCAGTGTCCTTTGAGTCCTGCTCTGACTGTAGCCCCCACTTCTTCAGAAACAAGTTACTTCTTTGTGCCCAGCAGGCTCTGGAAAGGGTGCCCTCAGGGCCTTCTGCCAGCTGTGCCCCCATTATTCCCCACCCACTCTGTTACACAGGCCTCTCTTCTTCCCCTTGCTCCCACCTGCCTGACTTGCCAGCCTTCTCTGTACCATACAGGAAGCATCAGGGCTTCTTTGAAGTTTCACAGGCCAGCTTCTTCTGGTCTGGCTTTATAAAGGCCTCGGATCACTGTCCCAAACTATCTCCCCAGCTCCTCCATTCCCCCCACCCCCGCTCCCTTGTCTGTACTTGCATGTTTTCCCTTTACTAGGTGATGTGTTCCTTGAAACTTGCACCCAGTGGTGGGTAGGGACTTTGCCCTCAAAAGCTCTCTGGCCTTTGCCTGGTTAGCATCCTTGAATGAGCAGAAGCTGGCAGGTGGCTGTGGTGGGATCAGAGCCAAGCTCATGATTATGGAATAGGCCTGGGTTTCCCTCCTTACCCTCCACCTCAGTTTGAGCCTCAGTATCCCTGTCTGCACAGTGAGAAAGTAGAGTAGCTCTGGTTCTGTTTCCCTCTAGCCCTGCTACAGGCCTGGACCCAGGGATCCTTCCTGTGTTGGTATTTTGGCAAGGATGAAGGCATCTGTTAATGTGTTGGTACCCACCAGTGGGGCTCTCAGTCCTCTGACAAGTGGAGTAGATGCCCCCGTGGAATGAGGTGGGGCTACCTTGTTCAGCTGAGAGCAAGCCCAGGGGTCTTTCCCTAGGGCAGCAGATTCCTGTTATTGGAGGCCTCCAAACAGAAGTGTTCCTGTTCTCTACTCCTAAGCCTGACTGAAAAGGAGGGTCTTTGGACATCAGCTAGACCAATCTCTAGTTGTACCACTGAAGCACAGTGCAGAGACTGCTGGCTTCTAGGCCCAGCTGGCCTCTACTTGGCTTGGCCAGAGAGAGAATTGGTCTGATGGGGCCCACATCCTGACCAGAGGCCCGTTGGTGATCCCATGTATGTTTCCTCTGCAGGACGAGATTAGATGCACCCCGGTTGGAAACAAAGTCCCTGAGCGGCTCCATGTTACCACCCAGCTATGCTTCAGATCGCCTGTCAGGAAACAATAGGGACCCTGCTCTGAAACCCAAGCGGTCCCACCGCAAAGCAGACCCTGATGCTGCTCACAGGTACTCAGCTTAGGACCCTCAACAAAAGCCAGCACAGCAGCCCCATGTCCTGGCCGGAGGGTGAAATGGGTGGGGAAGCCTGGGGGGTAGGCTGGTTAGGAGCCTGGGATTGCCCACCTTTTCAGAGCCTTATGTCTAGTTCCTCTGGGTTGGTGGCATTGGTGGCATTCCCTTCTTACTTTTAGCCAGCTGCCTGTAATCCCAGAGAGAAGGGGTCGGGCAGAGACTCTGACAAATGGACATGTATGGTAGCCTTCCCATGACTTTCATTATTCAGTTAAACCCAGACAAATACTCTGATGGGTTGATACTTAGATGTTAGGAAGGAATCTTGGAACTTGGAAAATAATAGACCAGGGACGTATTTCAGAAGAGATGGGGAGGTAATGTTTTTTTTTTTTTTTGTCTTTTTCCGTGTCCGGCAACGGATCGCAACCCTCAGTGTTGCCCCCGTACCGGACCGGGGACCGGCAACGGGATCGCAACCCTTGGTGTTGCTCCCGCGCCTCGCTCAGCCAGTGAGCGGGAACCGGTCTGTATGTGGGATCCGAACCCTCGGGCGGGAGCGCCGCCGCGCTTCCCAAGCGGCGCACTATCCAGTGCACCACCGGGTCGGCCCGTGGGGAGGTAATGTTTAAGCTGAGACCAAAAGGGTGAGGGAGACGTACGGGAAGGGCGTTCCGTGCAGGAAGTGCTGTATGGACTGAGCCTCTGAGCCAGAAAAGAGTTTGGTGGCTTCAGGGGCTAGTGAGGTTGGCAGAGAAGGGGGTATTGGGGACGGGAGTAGAAAGTGGGGAGAGTTGGGAAGTAGAGGTATACGGCAGGATCTCAAGGCTGTGATAGGGAAGGCCCCCTTCTGTCCAGCAGCCTTTGCAGCATCCTGGGGTACCAGACTCAAGAGTCAAGCAGACCCCACCAGGTAATTGAGAAATGTCCCAAAGACTAGGGGTGGCCACTGCCACTTAGTGGAGAAGAACCTCTAATGCCAGTACATCTGGCAATACTATCGTTTGAGAACCACTGGGCTGTAGTGACCCAGCCCAAGGACGAGGAACTGTGACATCAGGCTCAAGGGAGAGGTGGTGAGGCCAGGTCCCTCCTGTTAACCTCCCAGATGACACCCCTCTCCCTTTCCTTGCAGGCCCCGTATCCTGGAGATGGACAAGGAAGAGAACCGGCGCTCAGTGCTACTACCCACACACCGGCGGCGGGGTAGCTTCAGCTCTGAGAACTACTGGCGCAAGTCCTACGAGTCTGCGGAGGACTGCTCGGAGGCGGCAGGCAGCCCTGCCCGAAAGGTGAAGATGCGGAGGCACTGAGGCCTGCCCGCCACCCTCCTGGGACCTCTGGCTAATCCTCATGTAGCTGCCCCTTCTTTTGTTTTGAGGGTTTTGTTTTTGTTTGTTTTTTGTTTCATTTTTGGGTTTTTTGTTTGTTTGTTTTTGTTTTTTTTTTTATCCTATATATTTTTTCCTTGGTCTGTTGCCTGTTGAAGCTGAAGAACAGAATTGGCCAGGACCTGGCTTCTCATGTTTTTGGTTTTCCTCCTGGATGGAAAAGCTGTTGGTGTTTGTAGGGGACAGAAACTCACACTGGAGTGGCCAGTAGAGGTGTGGGGGCAGCTGTCTTAAGGTGGGGCTGTGTCAGGCTGGGTTTATTTAAAAGCAACAAAATGTTTTGGTTAAGAAATTCTTGTTTTGCTTTAAATGTCAATCTTTGCAGTGTTCTAAACAAAGTTCAATCTCCTGCCCACCCTTCCTCCACTGATGTCAGTGCTTGGTTGAGGTCTCTTGGAGCCCTACCAGCTGTGCATGGAGCCTGCTGTCCTCCACCTCTCACCTGCTCCCCAGGCCCTGGAAGCTCATACAACACCCTTTCTTCCTCCTGCATCAGAGTCGTTCAGGTTGGCTGGGCAGAGGCTTAAACAATGCCAGCCCCTGCCACTCCAAAGCTATTGCTAAGGCTTCCTTCATGCCCACTGGCCTGCTCTGCCCACAGTTCCTTAGGCTGCCAAGGGGCTAGCACAGTGGTCCTGACTTCTCTTGCCAAGAGCATGCCTCTTTGCTGGGTTGCTCCTTTCAAGCATATGCGTGTGATTGTATGGAACAGTTAGACTTGCTCTGTTGGGTCAGCTTTAGCCATTTCTACCTAGAGGGACTGGTGTCCTTCCAAATCTAGCATTTGAGGTATGGAAAATTTTGTGGTGTGTGGTAGGGTTATTGTTTTCTTTTGTTTTGAGTTTTTATTTTTCCTTCAGTTTCCTGGCTTTTTCCTTTCCCTTTCCTTTCTCCTACATTGACCAGACTGGGCCTTCTCCCCATGTCACCCCTCTAGGAAGGTGCCCGCCCCCTCTGTCCGCCTGTAGCATGCATCCAGGGCCAGAGCTCAGGCCTGCAGACTGGGTTGGTGCCTCCTCTCTGCCCCAGGGGCATGGGAGCTGGGGAAGAGGCTTTAAAAAAATCATAATAATAAAAGGAAAAAAAGGCAAAGTCTTTGGCAAGTTTCCCACTCAGATCCTGGAAGGCTGCAAGTTTTGCTGATCTAGATTAATTAGGAATGTCTTCTTGCCAGCCAGGCCAGGACCTGGGCCTGCCGAAAGTAGAGCCCCTCTCGGCAACCAGGCTACCACCGCTCCAGGGGGCTTTGTGTATAGAGGCCCAGGCTGGAGGCCTCGGAGGCTGCACAAGTCTGGGGCAGCCACCATCAAGAAGCCCTTCTCAGGGGCCAGAACTCCTTTGCCAGCGTGGATTCCTCAAGTTGGGACTGCGTAACTAAAGCAGTTGCAGTTTTATTTTTTTTACAGCTTTTTTCCCAAAAATGATTTGTAGTTGTGTGTTCAGCACTTTGCCCTGATATGTGTGCTCTACAATAAAAACCAAATCTAATATATTTTGAAACAGTTGTCTGATGCTGTCATAAGAGAGGGCTTGCCTTTGGTACTTTCTTAATCCCTTTATTTTCTTAATCTTTGAACAGGGGTTGGGGAGGCAGAGCTCATTGCCTACCAGGGCCCTAGAGGAGACAACAGGTTGCTGACACTAGGCCTCCTATGTGCCCAGCCTTGGGCTGATGGCCAAGGTGGATTTTCCCTCTGTCCACTGCCTTCTCTCCCACTCCAAGGAGGATGGACTTCATAAGCCATGGCATCCAGGTGCCCAGGGATCACACCCTGCTGAGTTTTGGAAGCCCCTCTTCCTCAGTGTAATCACAGAAAGGCTGCGTGCCAGTGAAAGGGGAAACTGCACAAAGGCAAGGAGAACCTGGCTTTTGTAGAGATGTGCAAGTGGTTTTTCTCATTAAAAAAATTGTTGAGTTCCCACTATATGCTGGCCAACACCTCATTGGGACCATAGTGGTGAGCAACTTTTTCTGATCTCTGCTTTCAAGATGCTCACAATAGAGTATGGGATATGGATACAGGTGTGAAGCAGACATTTTTTGGGTGGGTTGATGGCAGGGTCCAAAAAGCTTTTATTCCCTCCAGATCCCAGGTCTGGCTCCTGGGGCCTGGCACAGTGCTTCTGTCTGGAGTCTCCCTCACTCTATTCCAGTGCTGAGAGCCAGTCTGCTTGGCCAAATTCTTGCTGTGGAAACCTGGACAAGCTTCTTAACTGATCATTTAACAGAAAAGAGTTCAGAGGGGGGCAGGTGACTGGCTAGGATTCAGATTGCCAGGAGGAGCCAGAGCCTTTGTATGGTCTGTGGCCAGCTGGGCCTACAGGGGTAGCCACTGGGGTGGGCAGAGAGTGGACCCTGGATCCCCTGGAGAGGAGATACTGGAGCTGACGGGAAAATTACTTGCCAAATGTCATCCAGACTGTATATGGTAGAGGTGGGTAACCCCTATTCCATGCCCAGGCCCCTAACTCTTGGGGCTTGGGATAGGAGATCAGTGAAGGGCTAGGAGGGACCCTCTTTTGTAGCTGTGAAAAAGACCTAGGCTCTTCCCAGCTCCTGGGTAAAAGAGGTCCTTCACCCTGCAGGAGTGCAGGATAGGAAGAGCTTAGAGGAGGGGGCTGTGGCCCTAGCAGTTCCTGTCGTGTCACTGGCTTCAGTCTCTGTACAGTGGCTCTGTGGCACTCCATCTCTGTGACATGATGATCCTCTGAGTAGTCTCCAGAGCCCTATGAGTGACTTCTTGAATCTGCCTGTTCCCAGCCATCTCCTGGGCACCAGGTCAGGTGCTGAGTCCTATCAACCCCTGCCCCCAGCCCAGTCTTGTACACAGTAGGTGCTCTGACAACAGCTGGCAGCAGTCCTACCCACCTGGGAGCCCATTGCATTCTTTTCTAACCCTGTTGTGTGGAGAGGTAAAGTGAGACCCAGAGAGGTCAGGGACTGGCCCAAAGTCATACTCATTTATTCAAAAAATATTTGAGTGTCCTACTCTGTGCCAAGCTCAGTGCTGGAGATAAACAGGCCTGGTATATAATGTCATATACACACATACCTGTAAGTTCATTATAAATTGTACTGATATAAAAGAAGTATAGCACATAAATTGTAAATAATAAGATATACAATATCCTTTATGTTCCATATAGCCAATTGTTTCTCAAAGAATTGAGAATTGGTAATTCAACCGTGATGGCAACGGGAGTTGCATTTACCTGCTTGTGTTAGTTTTTTGTGGCTGCTAAAACAAATCACAGACTTGGTGGCTTAAAATAACAGAATTTATTCTATCACAGTTCTGGAGGTCAGAGATCCAAAATCACTATCATTGGACTGAAATCAGGGTGTTAACAGGGCCGTACTCCCTCTGGAGGCTCAGTGGAAAACCTGTTTCTTCCCTCTAACAGCCTCTGGTGGCTGTTAGCATCCCTTGACTTTTAGCCACAACTCCAGTCTCTGCCTCTGTGGTCACATTGCCTCCTCTTCTATGTGTTCCACATCTCCCTCTGCCTCTCTTTTTGTTTTTTCTTTTTATGGTGGTTGGCTGGTACAGGGATCTGAACCTGTGTCCTTGGTGTTATAAGGCTGTGCTCTAACCAACTGAGCCTGGCCTTCTACATCTCTCTCTCTTTTTTTTTTTTAAAAAAAAGATGACCGGTAAGGGGATCTTAACCCTTGACTTGGTGTTGTCAGCACCAGGCTCACCCAGTGAGCAAACCGGCCATCCCTATATGGGATCCGAACCCGTGGCCTTGGTGTTATCAGCACCGCACTCTCCCGAGTGAGCCACAGGGCCGGCCCGTACATCTCTCTTGATAGGACATTTGTCATTAGATTTAGGGCCCACCTGGATAATTCAAAGTAACCTCCCAATGTAGAGAATTTTTTTTCCCTGCTACCTGGCCCAAGATGTGCGTGTAGAGATCTTTATTCATATTTGCAAAGATCCTTTTTCCTTGTGAGGTAACATTTACAGGTTTCAGGGATTAAGACCTTATATTTCGGGGACACTGTTCGGCCTACTACACTGCACTTTTTCCAGTAAGTATATTGTCACTAACTATGATATATTACCTACTGATTTTTCATCCTCACACAAATTATGTTGATTGAAATTTCTCAACCTCGGCACTACTTTTAAATTTAATCTGAATCATTCATTTTTTTCTCCATTGCTTTCTTTAATCTAGACCTGTGCTGTCCAATACATAGCCACTAGACACTTTGGCTGTTGAGTTCTTGAAATAGGACTAGTTTGAATGGAGATGTGCTTTAAGTGTAAAATATACGCCAGAATTTGAAGTTAGTATGCAGAAAGAATGTAAAATATATCATTTAGTAATTTTATATTGATACTATACGTGTTGAAATACTATTTTGGACATACTGGGTTAAATAAAATATGCTATTTAAATTAATCTTCCCTGTTTTCCTGTTACTTTAAGTCTGGCTACTTGAGAATTTAAAATTACATGTGGCTTGCATTATTTTTCTATTGGATGGCACTGGTCTAGAAAATCAATAAATCAAGCCCGATCTGTGGTGTTTGCTAATTTCCATGGTGTAAATACACCCATCATGGCTGATTTCAGGCTGTCTGTAAGGTCACTGAGCATGGAGTTGTGAAGAGATGTGCAGCAGCACACCATTATACAGCGTTGCCAACATGCAGATAGAATAGGTGGAATTAACTTACAGAGTATAGATAATAGTAACGTGTAGTAAAATAAGTAGAAAATGCTTAGTGTCGAGTATTACCTTAGTTTAAAATATAATTTTAATTTTTTTAGCTCTCCATGCAGCTCTCATCATTTTAATCTTATACAACTTAATTTATAATAATGACTGTGTTTAACAACTGGCTCACAAAAGTTCCTGAAAATTTGACATTTGGCTCTTGCATGTGGCTCTATCATACCACTGGGTTCCCATGGGGGGTTTTTGAGCAGAGGAGGGATGTGATCAGACTTAGGATCCCATAGGCTGCTGTGTTGAGGTCAAACTCAGTGAGAAAGCTACTGCTTTGGCAAGAGACCAAGGGGTTCGAAACCTATGAGTTGGGACCCCACGTGTATGGGGGGGAGTGAAGCCCTGGGGCCACGTCAGGGCTGAGGTCCAGCTAGGTGTTGGGTGCTCATTGCTGCAGATCCCCCTGTGTCCACAGTGTGGCAGCAGAGCCTGAGCGGTAGTGCTTCAGAGTGGAGGCAAGGGACACCTGTCCCTTGGTTCGGATGGGGAACTGAGTTCCCCTGAGGCCCCAGAACTTGCTGGAGGCTACCCAGAAGCAAGAGCTTAGGTTCTCCACTGCTTCTGCCCTACTCAGATCCCTCAGGGTTAGTGGGTGTGGAGGGGCACTGGGATCTGAGGGACAAGCAGAGGTCCAGATGCCATCAGGTGCCCCTCAAGCCCACCTGCAGAACTGTGGGCAGAGCTCCCAGCCAGGGCCCCACACTCTACCTCTTTTGGCCCTAACTCCTTGGGGAACCCCTATGTGCCTTTGCATGTTCCAGTTCCTCTTCCTCAGGCAGCTCTGCTCAAAGTCACCTTCTCTAGCCCCCACCATGCTCCTCAGGGTTGCCTCTAGGCTCCCCCGGACCTTCTGTACACTCTGGGCTGTGCTGGGTTTTCCTCAGCACAGCCCAGAGTGTATTGTGTGGTCTTGGTTCTTCCATTCCTGGCTGGGAGACTGTGACCTAACTTCCACCTTTTCCTTTACTCAGTGTCACTGCAAGTGAGGCCCGTTACTTATTGTCTTATTTAATTTTCACTGCAATCTCTAAGACTTCATTTGGGGCCTGGGTTCAAATCCTGACTCTGCAGTGTATTAGCTGTGTGACTTTGGGCAAATTACTTATCCTCTTCTGGCCTCAGTTTCTTCCTTTGTAAAGTGGGCATAGGACTAAAGGAATGACCCTGGTGTCTGGCACAGACTAAGTACTCTGTTAATAAATGGTAGCAATATTGGGCCCCATTTTACAGAACAGAAAGCTGAAGCTCAGAGAGGTGAAATTGCAGAAGCAAGATTAGAACTTGGGGCCCACAGAGGAATGAAGCACAGAGCCCCCACCTTCCAACAGGCCTATGGCAGTGCCCACATGCCCAGCCCCCAGAGCCTCAAACCTAACACTCCCTGCGGGAGGCAGGTGCACCCAAGTTCCCAGGTCCTATAGCCCATCACGAACCAAGAAAAGCACAGCTCGGAATCCAGGCTCAAGTCAAGTGTCAGGGCTGAGAGTATTGCCTCTGGAGATCCAGTTACCCATGTATTATTCACCTGTGACCTTGGGCAGGTCACTTTTTTGAGCCTCAGTTTCCTCCTTTGTAAAATGAGGACAGAGTTGGTTAGCCCCAACACTCCCCCTGCCTGCCTGGTCTTTTCACTGAGGCATAGAACACTACTCACTCTCTGTGGATTGATGAGGCCCCAAATCAACTGCCCTCTCTCTTCTGGGCCTAAAGAACTCCGGCCCTTACAGCCAACTTCATTTGGCATACCATGCAG